CAAAGGAAATTGTTTTCTTCAAAGTTACCAGGGATTTCTTTTTTTTTAATGTCATTTATTTTATTATGAATTTAAGAAATAAAACAAGCATTACCATTACATAGTAGAATAGAAAAATGATTGCACACAAATCTGTAACCCTATTATGTACACCTTATTGTTCTTTTAAATACATAATAAAGTTATGATGTCATGTTCTTTTTTTTCTCCTCCCTCCTCCCACCACTCTGGAGATGGCTACCATTAGACACAAATATGTGTGTGTATATACATATATAGGGAAAATCATTCGAGACATACTTTTATTTATCAGTTCTTTCTCTAGATGCTGATTGTATCTTCTTTCACAGAACCTTGGTAGTTAATTAGAGCATTTATAATAGTCAAAATGACTTAGTTGCTCAAAGCCATTCTTAAAACAATATTGCTGTTACTATAGACAATATTCTATTAGTTCTGCTCATTTCACTCTTCATTATTTTGTGCAAGTTTATTCATGTTTTTCTAAGACCATCAAGCTCCTCATTTTCTATAGCACAGTAGCATCACATCATAATCATATACCAAAATTTATTCAGCCATTCCCCAGTTGACAGGCATCCCCACAATTTCCAGTGCTTTGCCACCACAAAGAAAGCTACTATAAATATTTCATAACATATAGGTTCTTTTCTTTTTTCCCTAATCATCCTTGGAAACAGACCTAGTAGTGGTACTGCTGGATAAAAGGGTATAGGTAGTTTAAAACTTAATAATAATTAATAAATAATTTAGTTTAGCAATAATAAAAATGGATAATTTTATTACATTAAATTAAAAAGGTTCTCTACAAGTAAAACAAATGTAGCCAAGATCAGAAGAAAAACAGAAAACTGTGTTGGGGGAAATTTATAGATATTATCTCAGATAGAGGTCTCATATCTCAAATATATAAAGAACTTTGTCGAATCTATAACAATACAAGTCATTCTTCAATCGATAGTCAAAAATGTGAATAAGCAATTTTTGGATGGAGATATCAAAAGAGTTTGTCATATGAAAAAATGCTCTAAATCATTATTGACTAGAGAAATGCACATTAAAGCAACCTTGAAATATCATTTTATACGTATCATATTGTCTAAGATGATTAGAGGGAAAAATGACAAATGTTGGAGGGGATATGGAAAAATTGGGACACTAATTCACTGCTGGTGGAAGTGTGAACTGATCCAACCATTTTTGGAGAGCAATCTGGAATTATGCCCAAAGAGTTATTGAACTGCCTATGATCCCTTTGACCTAGGGATTTCTTAATTGCCAGATCTAACAGTCATTTCTCAAATCCCATGCTTCTTGACCTCTCTGCGACTTTCAGATGCTTTCTCTTCAATTGGTTTTCATAACACTTTTTTTTCATGTTTTTTCTACCTGTCTAACCCACTACTCAGTCTCTTTGGATGGATCTTCATCTACATAATGACACTGCAGATGACCCCCAAGGTTCTGTCATGGATCATCTTATCTTTCTCTATATTCTCTCACTTGGTGATCTCATCCCCTTCCATGAATTTAATTATCATTTGTATGCAGATGATTCATAGGTTTATATATCCAGCCCTGATTTCTTCCATGTCATCCACTGACTGCTGGACATTTTAAACTGGATAATCTATTGGCATTTCAAACTCCGTTTGTTCACAACAGAACTTGTTTATCTTTTATCCCAAATCCTTCTTAATTTCCCTATTACTATACTGGGCAAGGCTAAAACACATCTATAAATCTCAGCCTGCTTTTTAAAAAAATATTTTTTCCAATTGTATGTAATTTTTTTACCGTTCTTTTTTTTTAAATTTTGAGTTCCAAATTCCCTGCCTCCCTCCCTTGTCCCCTCATTGAGACAGTAATCAATTTGATAAATGCTATGAGCAGTCATACAAAACATATTTCCATATTAGTTATGTTATGAAAGAAAACACAGACCCTCCCTAAAAAAAAAAAAAGAAACAAAAACAAAAAAAAACCCAAGAAAAATAAAGTAAAGAAAAGTATACTTCAATATGCAATCAGACTCCACCAGTTTTTTCTCTGGAAGTAGATAGCATTTTTCATCATAAGTCCTTTGGAATTGTCGTAGACTGTTGTATTGCTGAAAATAGCTAAGTCAGCATGCCTTTCTTAAATGCATTTTACTTCCAATTTTATTCAGTCACTCAACTGGTTATTCAATGAACAGACACCTTTTACTGTAAACATCTAATATGTTTAGACTTCTTTGCTAGGAGCTTAGAGAGAGAAGTGTTTTTCCAAATTTTTGAGCAGTCTTTGTCCTTATGGAGCTTATAGTTAGTAGGAGGATGAGGCACAACTATAATGGTATTGTAGACATAGTAACTCTAAGACTTGGCAGCTGATTGGGGCAGATCTAAGAATAGGATGGATCATTTATTGCTAACAAGTATATTGAATGTAGTAGGTGATCATTAAATAATTGTCAGATTGAATAATCAGTGCGTGGTCAAGTGTCAAATTTCAACTCAAGAAGCCCATTATTTATTACATGTTGTTCTGTGCTAGGTTGGCATTGGAAATACAGAAATAATATCAGACATAATCCTTGCCCTCAATGAGCTTATATATTAGTAAGGGATATAAGATGTGGATATACATAAATAATATTTAAAGGAAATCATCAGATTTATATGGCTGACTTGGCATTTCCAAATCAATTAATTAATAATAGTGTGGGGAAAAAAGCCAAAAAGAGGTCAGAGAAACTACTTACATGGGCAGGCTCACTTATTTTGCTCTCTGAAGTCAAATGGAAGCTATAAACACTTAAAATGTCCACTGGGAGATAAGGACAAATCATTGTAACCTTTAATAAAAGTGACGTAATTATTGCCAAATGACAAAAAAAAAATCTCTAAATATACTGAGCATAGAACTGGCCCTTAGTTTTCTTTTCATATCTTTTATACTCATCAAGGTGCACTTTAAAGTGAATGAAGTAGGTGCTTAATAAATGCTTATTGAGTAAATGAATGACTTTAGCCCATTCCTACCTAAAGTACTTGTAATATAAAACTAAAATAAGAGGCAGAGGAGAATAAAGTAGATATTGGATAGATCCAGAGAATGAACATAGTTTAGTTGACTGCATGGATCCTGAAGACAAGAGAATTCTATATTCTTAACCCATGCACATAAATTGATTGATAGGATTAGGTCAGTCATATATAGGACTGGAAAAATTGGTGCTCCATATTACTTATCCCATTTTTTAAAAATTCATTGGTCACCATTTTGTCAGTGAAGCAGTTTGGGAGCATATGTAATGCATAGATGAGCCATAGCAAATTAGACTACTTGTGTCAGCTGTGTTTGTTTCAATATTATCATAATTTCCACATTTTCCAGCTAAGATGACAATACTTCACTAGAGTGTTAAACTAATTGGTTTATAATAATATGAATAATAAAGAATAATAAGAGGGGGAAAGGGTGATAATATCAGTGAAGTGTTTTTAAAAAAGGAGGGGGGATACAGAAGAGAAGGAGGTCCAGAAGGAAATACAGACAGGTGGGACAGCTTTGGATTATTGGATATATTATATACTAAAAGAAAGAATAAGATGTATGTAGTGGAGAGTCACAATTTCAGATATAATGCTCAGTTTTATTCTCTGTGTATGGAAATGCTACATTTGTTGTTATTTGTCAAGTTCAGGATGTCAAATTGTTAATATTAAAAATAATAACGTATTTCTACTCTACTAGTCCATTATAGCAAAACCTCACTAGAAATATGTGTATATGTCTGTATGTGTACATGCATATGTGTATGTATAAACACATATATAATTATAACTGTATATATGTATGTGTGTATGTATTATGTATATATGCATGGGTCAGCTAGGTGGCACAGTGGATGAAGTGCCTGGTCTGGAGTCAGGAAGACTCAACTTCTTGAGTTCAAATCCAGCCTCAGACACTTACTAACTGTGTGATCCTGGGTTAAGTCATTTAATGCTGTTTGCCTCAATTTCCTCATCTGTAAAATGAGCTGGAAAAGGAAATGGCAAACCTCTCCACTATCTTTGCTAAGAAATCTCCAAAAGGCATCACAAAGAGTTGAACAAGACTGAAAAATGACTGAACAACACGTACATAACTATGCATTCAGTCGCTGTTTCCATCTATCGTTCAATCCAAGCCAGAGTATCAGAGGTAATTTACTCCAACATCACTTTATGACCCTTATTTTACAGATGAGGAACACAGAGAGATCAGACAGCAACATTTATCAAGCACATATGTGTCCCAGGCATTAAGGCAAAAGACGGTCCCTACTCTCAAGCAGCTCACAGTCTAACGTGAGAGACCCATGCAGACAATTATGTATGAACAAGATATGTATCATATGAATTGGAAATAATCAACAGAGGGAAGGCACTAGTATTAAGGGGGGCTGTAAAGAGAAGGAGTAGATGTGAAGTAATATTGAGAGGGCAGGCTGTAAATGAGACAGTCAAGCAAGACCTTCTTAGTCTTGGAAATGGCCCCTAAGTTGTATTTTGAAAGAAGCTAAGAATTTTAAGAGGCAGAGGCAAGGAGGGAGTTCATTCCATTGGAGGAGGACATATCTATTTAAAACTTTATATATATATATATACACATACATACATACATATACATATATACATATACATATTTATGTATATATACATACATATAGATATATACATATATATATATGAATATATATGTATGTGTGTGTGTATTCACACACACACATATGTTTGATCATCCGCAAATGAGATATATAATAGTATTTAAAGATGTGCCAGGCAAAATTCTACTTGTCAAGGCTTCTCAAAAATTAAAAACCTTATAGTGCTTAAAGCTTTCGGATGTCAAAAGCCAAACCCAATTCTCAAGCATGAATGATGAGGGGAGAATGGGAGGACCCATTAGTAACATGATCACTGGTTCTGTTCACTGTGTGCCTGCAGAGTGTGGAAGGGGAACACCACGAGAAGGCAGTGGAGCTACTCAAGGCTGCTAAGGAAAGTGTCAAGCTGGTGGTCCGCTACACACCCAAAGTGCTGGAAGAGATGGAGGCTCGCTTTGAGAAGCTTCGGACTGCCAGGCGTCGGCAGCAACAGCAGCTGCTGATTCAGCAGCAGCAGCAACAGCAGCAGCAGCAGCAAACACAGCAAAACCACATGTCCTAGGTGAGCACCATCTTGGCTTCCTAGGCAAAGAAGGACTTCTGATACAGGATAATAAACTGTATGGTTAAAGGGGGAAAATCCTCACCTAAGTAAAAGAACAAAATAAGTGAAAACTGGTCCCTTTATTTGTGCATTCAGCTCATCTCTCACTTGTGTGCTACCTTCTGATAGGGAGAACATTAGTATAGAACATTTTTTATTGCTTCATTCAACAAGCATTCTTAAGCTCTTACTGTGAGAAAGATGCTAGGAAGTGAGATAGGGACTGTATCTGTGATTTTATTGATACTGAGAAATCCAAGGGGAGGAAACTTCATCTGGCAATGTAGCTGGCACTTTCTCTGAAATTAATGGCCTTGCAGAATTGCCTAGAATACTTAGAGAGACTTGGTGACTTGTCAGGAGAAACAGAGCCAGGAAATGTTGGAGGCCTGTCATCCTGGCTTTGAGGCCCCCTCTCTGTCTACGACTTTACACTGCATTTCAGGTACCCAGGGTACAAAGATGACAAAGGAAACCATTCTGGTTCTTGAGGAATTAACATTCTATGGAGTAGGAAGTATAATATAACACTAAGATAAGTCAACACAAAATAACCCCACTTTGATTGGGTCAGAGAAGGGGACGCCAACCGCTTGATAAAAGGGAAGATTAGGAACGGTCTTGTTCTAAGTGGCTGTTTGTGTATCCTCTGGTAAATCAGTGCTTCAGTGAGGGAAAATATAAGACAGTGGCATCTTCTAATGCTATACTCAGGGTCAGTGCTGTAAGACCATCTTATTGTGCCCTTTTGGTATAGAATAAAAATAATAACAGCTAGCATTTATGTAACTCTTTGAGGCTTTGCAAAGCATTTCACATAGGTAATTTCAGCTTGATCCTTACAACAACCCAGCCAAGGAAGTGTTATTATTATCTCAATTTTAAAAACAGGGAATCTGAGACTCAGAGACATTTTTAATTGCCCAAGGTCACACAGCCAGTGTCTGAGGCAGGATTTGAACTTAGGTCTTCTTGACTCCAGGTCTAGCACTCTATCCTCTATGTCACTTACAGCAGGACCCCAATTTAATGGGTTCTAGGATGGTTCTGCCTTGTGCCAAATTCTGCTTCGGAACAAGAATATTAGAGTTATTGTGGCCCAATGAGTCACATGTATTGACAGCCAGAAGGATCATGGTGTACATCTTTTGATCTTTTCATTTAAGAGATGAAATGGAGACCCATAGAGACTAAATGAGATTTTCCAGGTCTCACAGAAAGTAACAGTCATGGAATTTGAACCCACACCTTATAATTTCAAATAGAGTGCTCATCAGCCATTGAATCAGGAAGACCTGAGTTACAATTCTGTGTTAGATCCATATAGGCTGTGTTGTAAATCCTTTACATAAATGTATCAGTAAAAGGTAGTTTCTGGAAGGGAAAGAGAGGGAAGAGGGAAAAGGAAGGGAAGGGAAAGAAGGGAAAGGAAAGGAGAGGAAAAAGGGGAAGAAAAAGAGGAAAAGGAAGGGGGGATAAAGGAGAGAAGAGGAAAAAATTCATATTGATTTTCCATTCTATTTTGAAAAAATTTAAAACCAACATTTTATAAGAATCCGTGTGAAAGATTGATAAGCTACTGCTGGTAGCTCTATTGTTTCCAATTTAAGGAATAAAGACCCAGTGGCCCCTAAAGTTAGAAAAATATTCTGTAGGCAGTGTTACTTCTCCAGGAACTTTTAAGTTTATTTCAAAGCACTTTTTCAGAAGAGTCATATTAGAATAAGGGTAACAGTAAAGAAAGAGTGTTCTGATACTGGCATATTGAAATACATGGACATAGTGACTTAACAATAAGTTCATGCATGTCATCATATATTTAATTTATTTAGCATTTTTGATGACATGCAAAACCACTTAACATTATCCCAATGACTGCCCCTTTGTGATAATAAATTATTTCACTGCTACTGGTTCCATATTTAAAGGTGATGTCCCTTTTAGAAATAACTTGATCCAAATGTCTCTTTTTAAAGGATAGTGAATGTTTTAGCAAAACCGCAATTTTGTTATCCAGTCATACTGATTCTACACCACTTGATAAACTCACCAATGTGATGTAAGGGGATGAAGATCAATCTGAGAGGCTCTTGTCAGTTAGCATAGCCATTCTGGAAGGCAAACAAAAGTGGACAAAATGTCTATACCATTTGACCTAAAAATTCTACTACTGGGCTTATACCCCTAAGGATATCATTAACAAAAAACAAAGGCTCCATATAGACCAAAATATTTTGGCAACACATTTTTTTATGGGAACAATGTAAACAAAGTAAATGCCCATCTATTGGAGAATGGCTAAGCCAATAATGGTATATGAATTAAATAGAATACTATTATGCAGTAAGAAATAAAAAATGATGTATACAGGGAATCATGTAAAGATTTACATGAACTGATGCTAAGTGACTAAATAGGCCCAAGAAAACAGTATGTACAATGATTACACCAATGTAAATGTCAAAGACAACCATAAAACAATGGAAAATGAATGTTGCCAAATTGCAAAGATGCTGGTCTCCAAAGAAGAGGTATTATAATATAACTCCCCCCACACCTTTTTTGGCAGAGGTATATGTGTTTGAGGGGTGGTTGTGTTCACAGATATGGGACAATGTATATAGTGTCAAGACTGTTTTTTTGACATTTTGTGTAGTTTTGCTGAATATTTTTCTCTTATTTAAAAAAAGTTGTCTTATAAATGATGGTTCTTTAGTGGGGGGAGGGGGAAGTGAGTGGGAAGAACAGAGGGACATAGGAAATCTAGGTGATGTAAAAACAAAATATATAAATAAAAATCTATTTCTTAAAAAAAAAAAAACAACTACCAAAAAAGTCCCGACTCTGCTACTCTTATGGGTCCACTGACACTAGTGTTCTGATTGGTTATGCTCTTTTCCTCTGCCCACTTGCTTCATAGCTCCTTGCTTGTTTGTTTTGCCCATTCCAATAATAATAGACCTCAGAACTGCTAGTCATACAGAGTATTTATTGAGACTCTTTCATCATTGTCCCTAGATTTTAGAAGTGTCCAGAGAGCCAGGGATTAGAATCCAATAGTCTCTCCTGCTAGCAATGTAGGCTTGAACAATATGTCTCCATTCTTTACCCCAAGACTTGTTTTCCCCATAGTACCTAAGTCAATGTTGTTCCTAGAGATTTTGTTGGGATACAATTGGTCTCCCTTAGAAGCAGAGACTGGATAACTATATGTTGCATAGGTTAAAATGGAGATTTATTTGAGTCATGGGTCAGAGTAGATCACTCATGGGGTTCACTTAACCTTGTATGTTCTTTACCTGACTTCTTATCCATAACCACTTGCACTGAATTGTACCTTCTCAGCTTCTACAGTTATATCAATCCAATCACATTTGTGCTACCACCATCCCCTCATCTTGCTCCCCTCACTTTCTTTCTGTCTCATAATATAAAATACTCCAAGTGCAATACTAGTTTTCCATTTATACATCATGTTCCCAAACCAAGGCTTCAGTTTTCTACTTATATCAACTCTACTGATTATCAGTGCCAGGAGAACGTACTTACCATTCCTTTACTTACATTCTCTCCCTTTTGGGTGGGGAAAGGAGACAACTAAGCTCTTTCAATTCCATGCATAGCTGTTTCCCTTTCAGAATCTATCAGCTATCTCTGTGATGTTTGGCTTTAATCTCCTCATTTATAAATTTGACACAATAATAATAATAATATCTCACAAGATCAAATGAAAATAATAAATGTGTAAGGGATTTGTAGGGACTAACAGGTAAGAGAGTATTTTGGAAAGCTGTAGAAAAGATCAAGTCTTTCACAAAAACTCCAGCAAGTATCCAGAAATGACTCAAAAAACCAACAACAAAGAAATCTAACAACAAGAAAATACTTTAGTCTAGAACTGAACCAAAAAATATCAAGAGAAGGTAGAAGCTTGTAGAAGAATCAAACTAGAAAAGCCAGCACCAATTCAGGTAAACATGGAAATAGCTGAGGAGAAAGAGGAAAAGAATAAGCATTTATTAAGTGCCTACTGTGGGCCAAGAACTATGCTAAGCACTTTACAAACATGATCTCATTCGATCCCCACAGCAACCCTGCAAGGTAGGTGTTGTTATGGTCTCTATTTAAAGTTAAGAAAACTGAGGCAAACAGAGGTTAATTCACTTGCCAAGAAACCCACAGCTATTAGGTGTTTGAGGTCAAATTTGAATTCAGTTTTTCCTGACTCCAGTCCCACTGCTCTATCCAATCTACCAGCAAAATGCCCCTAAGCAGCTGAGGGTGGTAAGAGGGTTGTGTGGGTTGGGGTGGGGCCTCAAGGTCACAAGTGGCCCTCTAGACCCTCAAGTGTGGCCCTTTGACTGAGTCTACGTTTTGTAAGAAAAAATCCTTTTATTAAGGAGATTTGTTCTGTAAAATGTGGGAGTTAGCCCAGATGCCCACAAAGAGATTTGAAGCTAGCCAATGGCCTGAATATGGGCATCACAAGCCATCGTCAGTTTGGGTAAATGTGGAAAAGGCAGAGGCTAGGTAAACCAGAAAACTAAGACTTCCCTGAAAAATTAAGCTGGCTATTGATTGCCCTGCACAGGGAGATTTGCAGATAGAGCCAGCTCCAACATTTGAGTGCTTGAAGCCAGATTCTGGCTATGGTCTGTCAAAACAAAGTTGTAGACAGAACCAGTTGGACTAAATCACTGCATAGGAAGACTAGGGCGGGGCCTAACTGTGCATTCCTCAGAACACTGGTAGCCACAATTGGAGAAAGGATCAATTCAATGACTAGGCATCAATGCCATAAGATGCTTGAGATCAGGTTAGTGTCCATCAATCTACTGGAGTCTATTATCAGCACAGCACAGAGAACTGAGGTACCTCCCAATTAAAGATAATGAAAAGAAAGTTAAAGATGAGCTAAAGCTCAGATCAACACTGGGCCACTAGAAAATGCAGACAGA